CAGTAAGGTCAGCACACTGGCTTTGTAGCATATCAGTTTGGTAGGCAGAGTAATACCTCTTCTTGCCTACACTTTCCTTCAGAACCTCCCAAACACTTAATTAGCTCTAGCAATGTGTGTGTCAGCCTCATCATCTGTGTGTATATCCATGGAAAATATACTGCCAAAGTAAGTGAACTTATCCACAGTATTCAAAATTTTTCCATTTGCTGTAACTGATGGTCCCATGTATGTATGGTACAGTGCTGGCTGGTGGAGCACCTGTGTTTTCTTTGTGTTAATTGTTATGCCAAAATTAGCACAAGTAGCAGAGAATTGATATGTACTCTGTTGCATCTCAGCCTCAGAGACAGTGTTGAGTGCAAATCGTCTGTGAACAAAAAGTCATGTACCAACTCTACCTCCACTTTAATCTTGGCTTGTAGCCTTTTCAAGTTAAATAATTTACCATTAGTGCAGTAGCCAATCTTGATGCTGTTTTTGTCCTTATTGAAGGCTCCAACAACATTGCTAAAAACATCATGCTAAAAAGCATGGGAGCAAACACACATTCCTGCCTCACTCTGTTTTTGACTGGGAAAGCATTGTCCATTATCCAGAACCCATGAAAGCATGCCATCATGAAACTGGTGTACAATATTGAAGAATTTCTCCAGGCAACCAAATTTTGCCATGATCTTCCACAAGCCCTTGTGACTAACAGTATGGGGACCTCAATAAACATCCCTAATTAGAAACATTGGGGTTAAATTTCCAAATTTAATAATAAACAATGAAATCTACCTTCTTATGAGGGACCCTTAGACTAGGTAAGAATTAATGAGTAGTTTTGTCCCTATTGTGATGATGTGCCAATGTAACAAAGCTTGTTTCAGTAGAGTAACAACAGCTCATTTTGAGGCTGTTTGTCCCCATGATGTTGTAGGATGTTTTCATTTGACATTACAGTGATCTTAGCCAATAATCAAATCATGAGGTGGCTGCTATTTTTAAAATTTTTATTTTACCAGATGTTTTTCTTGGGATTGGAGATTAGACATTTCTGTTTCTGTGTCTCAGACCGGGGTATAATTAGGAAAAGAGGATGAAAAGCTAGAGAGCAAGATTTGGTAATATTGACAAAACAGGAGGAACAAGTCTATAATAGTTGCAATAAGCCCTGAAGGGCAGGAAGGATGGATACTAACAATACAGAAGAAGCAAAAGTCAATTTTAGGTTAAGGCTAAGGACATCAGTACAGTTCTGTTAGATCTAGAACATTAAGCTTAAGTTTCAGTGTAGCCATGCTTTTCAATCTTTTTCATTTTGGCACACTCATAAATTTCTTAATTTACTTAAAAACACCTGGTCAAGGTTGGAAGTGCCCTGCACACATTGATGAAATTGACATGAGAGGAGAGTGAGATGTGTTTGTGTGGTTTGTGGTTGTGTGGTTTATCTTTTGTTTTCAAAGAGGACTGTGACATCAGGGAGATGATGACATGACTTGCAATTGACTTTGATTTGAGTGAGGAAGGGTGTGCAAAGTCACCAGCCTCACTTTTCTTCTCTAGAGCTGTCTAGGTCCAGTGGCCAGATATTAATCAAGACAAGTGGAGATAGCCGAGGATGCAGTGGGAGAGCTTGGCCCTTTTAAGCTAAGGTCTTTTCAGGTTCTTACTTTGAGTGAGGCAACACCTATTCAGTGAATGGGTATCTTTAAGAAGTGACTCAAGGTAATGAAAAGAAATGCAGGGAAAGGTGGCCTAGCCGTCTCAGATCTTACATTGTATTATAAAGCAGCAATCATCAAAACTACTCAGTACTGGCTAAGAAATGGAGTAGTGGATCAGTGGAATAGGTTAGGTATGCAAGACACAGTAGTCAATGACTATACTCATCTACTATTTGATAAACCCAAAGACCCCAATAACCCAAAGACTCCCATAGTGGAAACGAAAGACAGAGATGGTTAGGTACCATGAGGAAAATTAGGAATAGTATGACATCATGATTTAAGTTTCTTGGGATAGTGGTTCATTTCTGACTTTAGCACAGTGGGAACAAAATTAGTTATTTTAGAAAGAACGATATATCCCTTGCCATGCTTTCAAATGTCAAATAATATTCCTTCACCAATAATATGCCTTTTTTTGCCCTTTATAACTGTTATAACTTTATTTAACAACTTAGTAAAAGCAGAGATTTATAGTACTTAACATGGTATAAGGAGACCAAAATAAAGTTTTATAATACAAAGTGCCTAAAAAAAAAAAGCATTCAACTCAGGAATCAGTCACTTCAATAGGACTTCCAAACTTTTCCTAATCAAGCCTTAGAATGTAAAGACTAAGAGCAACATAAAAGACGTTTAAAAAAAATGAGAGTTCATTTTTGCCAGTTTTAACAATCAAGAAAAAGAAAGTCTGGCATCAGTTTATAGGGTGTCACTATTTGACAAAAACTGCTAGGAAAACTAGGAAAGAGTATGGCAGAAACTAGGTATGGTCCAAAATCTCATACCATATACCAAAATAAAGTCAAAATGGGTTCATGATTTAGACATAAAGGCTGATACTATAAGCAAACTGGGAGAACAAAAAATAGTTTACCTGTCAGATTTATGGAGAACAGAAGAATTTATGACCAAACAGGAGACAGAGAACATTATGAAATGCAAAATGGATAATTTTGATTACATTAAATTGAAAAGTTTTTGCACAAACAAAGCCAATATAACCAAGTTTAGGAGAGAAGCAGAAAACTGGGAAAGAATTTTTACAACCAGTGTCTCTGAGAAGAGCCACATTTCTAAAATATATAGAGAACTAAGTCAAATTTGTAAGAATACAAGTCATTCCCCAGTTGATAAATAGTCAAAGGATATGAACAGGCAGTTCTCAGATGAAGAAATTAAAGCCATCTATAATCATATGAAAAAAATGCTATAAATCACTATTGATTAGAGAAATGCAAATAAAAACAACTCCAGGATACTACATCACACCTATCAGATTGGCCAACACGACAAAACAGGTAAATGATAAATGTTGGAGAAGATGTGGAAAAATTGGAACACTAATGCATTATTGGTGAAATTGTGAAATGATCCAACCATTTTGGAGAGCAGTTTGGAACTATGCCCAAAGGTAAAAAAAATGTGCATACCCTTTGACCTAGCAATATAACTTCTAGGGCTGTATCCCAAAGAGATCATAAAAATGGGAAAAGGACCCACATGTACAAAAATATTTATAGCAGCTCTTTTTGTGGTGGCAAAGAATTGGAAATTGAAGGGATGCCCTTCGATTGGGGAATGGCTGAACAAGTTATGGTATATGAATGTGATGGAATATTATTGTGCTATAAGAAATGATGACCGGCACACTTCAGAAAAACCTGGAAAGACTTGTATGGACTGATGCTGAGTGAAATGAGCAGAACCAGAACATTGTACACAGTAACAGCCACATTGTGCAATGACTAACTTTGATAGACTTAGCCCTTCTCAGCAATGCGAGGATCTAAGACATCTCCAAAAGTCTCATGATGGAAAATGCTATCCACATCCCAAGAAAGAACTATGGAGTTTGAATGCAGATTGAAGCATACTATTGCTATTTTTTTTCTTCTGTTTTGTTTTGTTTTCTCTTTCTTGTGGTTCCTTCTGTTGGTTCTAATTCTTCCTTAGAACATGACTAGTGTGAAAATATGTTTAATAGGAACGTATATGTAAAGCCTATCTCAGATTGTGTGCTATCTTGGGCAGGGAGGGGAACAAAAATTAAAACTCAAAAAGCTTATGGAAGTGATTGTTAATCAAAATAAATTAATAAAAAATTAAAGAAGTGAGTCAAGGGATGGCCCCTTTAATTAAAAAAAAAATCAAACTGGGAGGGGAAGACCCTTAGGGTTGCCGGCCAAAAGGGAAACAGTTAACTGTTTACATTCACTCTGAGCCTGGAGGGACCAAAAAATAGCCATTAAGTGTTGCTTGGACAGGGACCTGTGGTTGTCCAATCCATGAGATCTCGAGTGAATTGAGTTTAAGGCTTGGTCTTTGAGAAAGAAACTAGGTAGCCTTTGGCATCAAAATTGATGAGAGAGTGGGATGTAAGCCTTTGAAAATAATCTTAATCTGTTAATAAAGAGAAGGAATAGAAAGAAAGTGTGTACTGAAAGTCCATCAACAGCCTATATAGGAATGGAGTGTTTGGGAAATTCTGACTAATCTTGGGCACATTGGTGGGGAAACTCTGATCTAAAAAATGACAATTGGCTCAAGGGCTCTTTTCTTTTTCTTTTTTATTAATTTATTTTGATTTATCAAAAATCACTTCCAAATGCTTTTGAGTTTAAAAATTTTCTCCCCCTTCCTCCCCACTACCCTGCCCTAGACGGCACACAATCTGATATAGGCTATACATATATATTCCTATTAAGAATTAGAACCAATAAGGGAAATGCCAGAAAGAGGAAACAAAACTCAACAGAAGAGGAAAAAAAATAGCAAATAGTATGCTTTGATATGCATTCAAATTCCATAGTTCTTTCTTTGGATGTGAATAGCATTTTCTATCACAAGGCCTTTGGAGATGTCTTAGATCCTTGTATTGCTGGGAAGGGTTAAGTTTATCAATATTAGTCATCGCACATCATGGTTGTTATTGTATACGGCGTTCTCTTGGTTCTGCTCACTTCACTCAGCATCAGACCATACAAGTCCTTCTGAGTTTTTCTGAAGTCAGCCTGTTCATCCTTTCTTATAGCACAATAGTATTCCATTACATTCATATACCACAACTTGTTCAGCCATTCCCCAATTGATAGGATTCCTCTCAATTTCCAGTTCTTTGAAGGGCTCTTTTCTTAATATTGAATGGCCTTTTCAGATTTAATAAGAAGCCAGTCTTCACCCTCTCCCCCTTCTTGCCTGCTCCTCAGCTGATATTCACGTGCTATTGGTGAACTTCTTGACCTTATGCTTGTACAAACCTTAACTCTCTATTTTTCCCCCTAGAAAAATGTGCTGTATGTGGAGCTGCCTGCAAGCATCTGGCTCTCTCTGATAATGTGAGTGTGTCCCCTGTCTCCCAAATCTTACCTTATGTTAGGCCTTTAGAAAAAGGAATGAAGCACTTGAAAGTAAAGTTCAGTAACCACAGTTAAGAAATGCATTTATTTGAGGCTTCCATAGTGGAAACAAAAGAAGAGATGGTTAGGTACCATGAGGAGAATTAGGAATAGTATGACATCATGATTTAAGTTTCTTGAGATAGTGGTTCCTTTCTGACTTTAGCATAGTGGGAACAATATTAGGTATTTTAGAAAGAATGATATATCCTTTGCCGTGTTTCCAAATATCAAATAACATTCCTTCAAGAATGTGTTGATTCTTTGAGGGAAAAACATGTTTTAGTGGAAAGAGTACTGGACTTGGAATCAGAAGACCCTGGTTTGTATCTTGGCTCTGATAGTTCCTAATTGTGTGATCTTTGGCAAATCTACTTACCTCTCTTGACCTCTATTTTCCTATTGGTAAAGTGAAATAGTTGGACTAATTTATCCCTTGCAGTCCTGATAGCGTGTGATTCCCTGTATTTCCTTTACAGCTAAAACCTCAGGAGAAGATGTTTTTTAAGAGCCCTGTGGAGACAGCTATGAAGTATTTTAGTCACATCTCTCAGGTACGAGAATTAAAGGGAAAAAAAAACCAAACCTGTTTGTCTAGACAGATTGCAACCATATTTTTCTCTTTGGTTTATGAAAGTTCCTTTGAACTGTAAGTCTATGCATGTAAGAGGGATGTTGTCTTCTGTTTGCTTTCTCTTCTCTGGAAATAAAAATCTTCCTAACCAGTTGACTCCTTTACTGCATTATCCTCCTGGGGACTGTGACTCTATTACAAATTCTCAAATTTTACTTTCCCAATTCTCAATGAATTCTTCTAAAGCAATGTTATATATAAAGGTGATTTATGGTCATTTCTTCAGTGAATAAGGACAAGTAAGAATATCCTTTAAGAACTGCTTTCATCAGTAGATCTGACCTTAGAAAGGGGTGGATTTGTAGATTTAAATGTCATTCTTCAGTATATAAAATGTAGAGTTGAATGTAGGAAGCAATTCCTTTGGTTCTATTCCCCCAGTAACTCTCCTTAATCTCACCCCCCCCACCCCAACACCCCCCCACACACAGACGCATGCACACACCCAGTGGTCAATCTGCATGATAGATTAGCTATATTCTAGAAGTTTTTTTACTTTCACGAAAACTTTACATATTAGCGTGCCCTTGAAGGTGGAGTACCAAGGTGACCCTTATTTTGAACTAGACTAGTGTAACAGAAAGTGGGATATTAATCTATGTATTCAATTTATGAACATCTCTCTCTCTCTCTCTCTCACACACACACACACACACACACACACACACACACACACACACACAGAGGCTCTCACAGTTCACAAATCATCATACCACTTTCCCTACCTTATGTTATCTCTGCACTTAGTTATTTGGCTCATCTCCAAGAACATTCAGGAAGAAAAAACATTGCCATAGAATTGTAACAAAATTTCAGTGATAGTAGTGGATCCTTTAGCCATTTTCTTGGTAACAAGACTTAGTTTGGTTTAGTGGTAGTAGTATTGGATTTGGAGTCAGGGAAAATGAGCTTAAACTACCTTGCTCTGCTACTTACTACCTGCATAATCTTGGTTAATTTTATTTCTCTAGAATTCATTTTACTTGTCTGTGAAAGGAGGTGGAATTAAGGTCCCTTCCAGTTTTAAAACCTATGATCTTTTAGAAGGGAAGATTGTAGTTTTTCCTATCCTTTTTTGGGAAGGCTGTTGGAAATTGTTCCAGACTGTCAGATTTCTAGCTTGTCCCATTTTCTTCTCCATTCTTTCCCCAGAAAGATAATTCCACAGCCTCATCATGGTGTGAATCTTAAAAATTAATTTTGCCATTTTTACTTTTTCCTTTATCTCTACTTGTTATTCTTGAGAGTTAGCTCTTTTCAGATACATGAAGATAATTTTTGTGTCTCAGTTTTTAGGCATCATTTGGCCCTGAGTGGTAGATTTAGTTCTTGTCTTTCACTTGAGTGAAAGGACTGGGGGAATGAGAAGCCAGTATCTCTCACTCCATCAGTCCTGAGCCTAGGGACAAAGTGAGAAGGGGGAAAAGCATTAGCTACATCTTGTTTTTAACCACACAAATAAGCAATCACATCTGAGAGGCTGTGTTAACATTATGGAGAGATAAAATCCAGTTGGGACTCAGCAAGAAATGTAAACAAGGTCAAATGAATAAAAGAGAGATCTTTGGTTAATAACCAAACCTAGTAGGACTAGTTAATGATCAGTAGAGAAAATATATGTAGTCTGAGTCCTAACCTACCTAATCATGAGACCAATCAATGATGGTTAAATAATCAAGATAAGAAGATAAATGAGTAAGGTTAGTTAATCATCAAGGGGCAATTTGGTGAAGTCAGCAAATTTTGATAATGTGCTTTCCTGATCTGTGAAGCTGAATTAGGAGACAAAAGGAGCTGTTTTAATCAATTCTGGCCCTAAAGTCAGAGGAATTGGGTTCAAATCCTACCTTGAAGTTACATGTATGACTTTGGGCAAATTTTCTTTCTCCTTGTGCATCAGTTTCCTTACTGTGATATGAAAGTGTGGGACTAATTTTATCTTTAAGGCCGACTTCTAGCTCTAAATCTATGCTTCTAAACTCATAGTTTTATTGTTTATAGTCTCAGATCCCCACAGAGATTTTGCTGTGCCTTGTGACCAGCAGCTGATCTCCTATATGAAATTCTTTACCTACTCTTTGTTGGTTTTTCAGAAAAGCTATGAGGTTGGAGACTAAGGAACTTCCTTTGAATCTCAGATGGGTTATCTACAACTAACCATCTCTCAAGTGAATATCTCTTATTAAAAGGGTAGACAGGTGATTGTTTACGAATGAACCTAGTTAAACTAGTTTCAGTGTAAAGCAGAAAACCTAAATAACTGAAATAAGCAAGTTTCTTGTATTTGTTTGTAGTTTTCTCAGTTGATTCCTACATAGGAGTCTCTTTGAAAGACATACCATGTTTCTTAGAAGAAAAAGAATTCTCAAGATTACTATTTCCTGAGAACTGACAACATTCCCTAGATTGTAACTTACTCAGTGACAAAAACTATATCTTTTACAAGCTACATAAAATGTGCCTAGTGCAGTGGTGTAAAACTCTAAATGTTAGGAAAGTAGAAAGTTCAGGTACCAAATATACCTATAACCATGAAAGAAACTCACTTAAAGTTTCTCCTGGAAGTTTGAAGATAAAAACAGTAATCTAAATACAGAGCCTCCTTCCATGGGACTGATCTAATCCAAGTCAATCACCTTTTTATGAACTCCTATGCCACCTATCTGAATCACTCATTTGGGCACTTAATTATGTGCTGCCTTGTAGTATTACTTCAATGTGTATATGCCTTATTTTTATTTAGAAAATGTTTTATTTATACTATTACTTCCCAATAACTCCTCCAATAAAAACAGCTAAGAAAAACAAATCACTGCCATCATATTTGACATGGTATGCAGTATTAGACACCTCCCTATGAGAGGAGGGAAGTGTTTAATCATCCATCCTTTGAAGCCAAGATTGGTCATTGAATTTACATTGAATTGTGAATTTAAGTGCTGTTTTCATATACATTATTGTAGCTGAGTATATTATTCTATTTTTGCCTTATTTTTCCAAGATGATCAAAAGCTTCTGGAGGGCTGTCAGACCTAGGTTTTTAAAAGACAATACTTTAAAAAAATTATTTTGTATAGCCCTCAGCATCTGGCCCAATGCCATATAGTTAGTAAATACCTGGTAAATATTTAGTAAATGTTGGATGAATAGTTAAATATTTAATGGTTTCCTTAGAATCTCCCAGGATTGGTGAGACTTCATGGAAAAGGAACATTTTTGTGACAGGCTAAAAGAAAGGAATTTGGATAGCAGTTGATAAAGCAGTTGACTTGCTAAATTAGGAAAATTCTAATATGATATCAGATTCAATACTTCTATTTGTAAGTATCAAAAAAGAAGACTGGTTTGTTTAGCTTCATTTGGTAGAGGTGAAGTGCTTCTGGTACTTTTTATTAAAATCTTTAGAGCCAAGATGAAAAAGGAACAAAAGTGGAGATTAACTGTGAACATGGCATAAAGAGATTCAAGTATTTTATTGGATTATAACCTAAACATATCACTATTTTAAAAAAATTAATAATATTCATATATTATATACATATGAATTACTATAATGTACAAAAATAAGAAACTACTACCTGTATATTTACCATGGATCAGATCCTCACTAGGACACTATTTTCTATTCAGTGTTCCATAGTTTAGGTAAGAGGTGGGAAACTTGGACCAAAGGCATGTAACTTTTGTTCTATGGTGGGACATTAACATAGGAAAAAGAGCCAATTTAGGGTCTCCTAAGTAAAAGTCACTTTTACTTATTTCATGAGAATTTTTTTTTAGAGAAAACATAAAACATACCATTCACTCATTTTTAAAATTGAGAACAGAACTGGAAATTTTTTATTTTATTGTTTAATAAAATAATATCAAACATTAATATGACTAATTAAACTTACTGTTTACATTTAAATTAATTTCAACACATAACATAAAAATTAGTCACTTTCTTTAAAGTTTTGTAGAACACAAAACTGTATTCAATAAATTAAAAATAATGATTTAAAATATGCTTTAGTTCTGCAATTTGGTCATTTAAGGGAGATAAAATAAATGAAAAGTAGTACTTGCACTGGAATATAAGAGATAAAGACATACAGGAGGTGAGATGTTCAGTTGTTTTTCAGTCTTGTCTGACTGTTTGTGACCCCATTTGGGGTTTTCTTGGCAGAGATACTAGAGTGGTTTGGCATTTCCTTCTCCAGCTCATTTTATAGATGAGGAAACTGAGGCAAACAGGGTTAAATGACTTGCCCAGGGTCTCAAAACTAGTAAGTGTCAAGAAGACTTATCTTCCTGAGTTGAAATCTGGCCTCAGACACCAGGCCTGTATCTACTGTTCCACCTAGCTGCCTCAAGGGGGGGAAATAGAAAAACACATGGGGTGTGTGTGTGTGTGTGTGTGTATCTATATCTATCTATCTATCTATCTATCTATCTATCTATCTATCTATCTATCTATCTATATCTCTGTCTCTGAAACACTGACATCATATAGAGAGATACACAGAGATGACTAGAAAAGAGAAACATGCATATTTAAAAGGGATTCACACTGAACAAGTTGGCACAGAAACAAACACATAGTTGATCAGAGCTGATCAGAGGAAGGATGGGAAAGCATGGCAATTTTGAGCAGCAGTTAGGGTGATAATGCTATGACTGCATTGATAATTCTCCACTTTATGGGGTTCAGGGTAGATGCCTCTGAACATTTTCAAAGAGAAGTAAAAAACTGTAAACAGTGGCAAATCCATTTAATCCTTGAGGAGTTTTTCTTTAATGCAACAACAATATTATTTTTACTAGGACCCTACCAAAAAAGTATTTTTTTTAAAAGTGAGAGGGGCTCAGATGATATTAATTTTTTAAAAAATGTAACTTTCAGTCATTTGGAATGAGGAAGCTTAAAATTCTTATAGA